TGCATCTAGTATGAACTGCTAGAGCGTGAGTTCAGAATAGTACTGTTACCACCCATTAGTAGCCGTCAACCGTTGAACAATTACGGTACTGGTTGAGCAACAAACGAGTCTAGTTCGCTCGGAGGGCCACAAGGAGTGCAAAGCAGCATAGCACAAGCACTGGCAGGGGCGCTAGCTGCACACAAATTTACCACTAGTTCAGGAGTTAACTGTCAGGCCATGGCTGCAGAAGATGAGATGCTGACGGCATGGCTGCAGCAGCCTGAATTCCGCCTCTTGCAAAGCAAATGAAGCTACCTAGTCCTCTGGAGAACAAACTTCCCTAGATTCTGGCTCGGATGGACAGAGATTCAAAAGACGCTGCGAGGATGAATCCAGACAAGGGTGGGGCTGGCGCCAAAGTTAGCGCAGCAGGTGGGTAGGTCTTGCTCTAGTGATAGGGTTGTCAGCTCTTGCTGGCCTCGGAGCAGATTAGTCTGGTGATAAATTGTGGTTTTGAATGGATGGTGGTGGATTGAAGTTGGCAGAAGCCACTGTTTCAATAACAATCTTGTTGAGAAAGGAAGTCCAGCTAGAGCCAATTCCTTTGAGATTCTCTCTTGTTTTCCATATTGATTCATCCGATGTGTTCAGCCTTGGGATCTGCAAACATCGTTTGAAGTTTGGAAAGCTCATCTTGTGCAAGCAATTGTTTTGCAGGTCCAAAGTTACCCTGACCGATCGCTGATGTTTATGAAGCAAGCGGCACAATTGTAAATTAACAAACCCTAAAAAGCATCAGGTGGCTCATTGTAAGGCTCTTTGAATGCTTGCACCGAATGACCACCAAAACTTCCATCATCTGGTAGATGATTACACAACAATGACCATCGTGGAATACAGAAAACACATTTGCTCTTCCTTGCAGAGGCTGCGGGTAAGCAAGGACTAAAAGGGGGCCCCAAGGGCGTCCCTTCGGCCCTCGTGCCTCCTAACCTGACAGAGCGTCAACAACTGGCCCTCCTGCTGAAACAGACAAAGACTGAGTCAGTTCCGGCACCTTCCGAAAGCGACTCTGAGGTCAGCGATGACAGCGACGATGACGGGAGCTCGAGCGGGGGGGATAACAGGAGGAAGCGGAAAGGGGGCCACGGCGAGAGGGAGAATGTGAAGCGTCCAAGAGGGGAGGGGAAGCAGACGGGTGACCCCGAACGAAGCGAGATGGATGATAGAAGAAGAGGGGACGAGAAGAAGGAGGACGAGGGCAGGAAGCAGATAAGAGATGGTCAAGAAGGGGGCATAAGGGATGGAGATGGACAAGGTTTGGACGAAACGGCGCCCGCAGGTTTCGGACATTCGGGCGGCCGTCTTCCGCCCCCGATTCCAATGCCGCGGGGGATGGGAAAGCGGACGAGAGTGCGGCAGCGGAGAACCGGTGCAGGTACATCCAATCAACACCGACAGTTCGATGGGAAATTGATATGCATTTGTCCACAATTTGGCCAAGGGGACTTTTCAATCAAAGACCAAAGGAAATTATCTGGGCATCTGCCCCTCTTTCGTCGACACATGGTGCCGTTTGCCGCTGCTGCTGGCACACACTTTGCTCAGTGTTTTCTGTCGAGACGCCACTTCCTGATTCCGAGCACTTCCTACCCAAATTACACATAGTCGTCACTGAGAGGAGGTCAACCTGAGTTTCCCGCCAACGTTTTCGATGGTGGCCGGAGAGATCGAAACAGCCAGCCGGGTGTCAGCGCGAACCAAGTCAACGGTAAAAGGTCTTCTCTCTTGTCAACATTCAATCTGAAGCCAAGGAGAGTATGCTCATGCGTTCAGTGCACGCATCAGCGTTTGTCTTGTGCTGCAGGTGATCTGAGGCTGCATGAGGGCAGTGGGAGCGGGGAGGACGATGACGATCCACTGCCCGTGTGGCGTCCCGAGGAGTTTGCGTCCTGGCCCCCGGCAAAGCAGGCAGCGTGGTAAGGGATCCCCACTCCCATCTTACAGCTTTTTGAGCGTTCTGCTTGAGCAGATTGCTAGTCAGACGTTCACAAACAACAAGCGGATAGTCACAGCCGCAAATCTTTGTCTTTGGTGAGGAAGAGGGGTTGCTGATTTGCTAGACTGTCAGCAGTTTCCGTGCATCTTTTTGCATCACGTGAGTCTTGACAGCTTGCACGTTTGTGAGTCAAAAGCGGGTTCATGCTTGACCTGCTGACGATTCAAGGAACACTTCGAAGTTTCCAGGACTCACCTCCAGTCCATGTTTTATGTTCGTACTTCTTCAGATAGGCAGCCTGCTCGCTTCACCATCTTCTTCTGCTCTTCCTTTTGCCGTCTCTCCTCGAATATGCTTGATTTGCAAATTCCATGCGAGTACCACGTCATTATTCAAGACAATCCTCCGTTGACGCCAACATACTGTCACTTTTTGATTCAAACGTGCTTCCTTTGCATTCCTCAAAGCTATTAGTCTCCATCCAACTTTGTAGGAACAATCTTGCAATTGACGCCAACGCCTTTTTGGATTGTTCCACCTCATGTTTAAGTGCATTTTTCAGAAGTTGTTGAAAGTGAGATTTTGAATCCATTCCAGGAACAATCTCGCGATTGACGCCAACGCATTTTACGAGAAGTACGCACCCCCAGGTCACGAGTTGGACCTCGGGGAATGGACTTTGGAGGAGCAAACCCGCTTCGTGCAAATGCTGAAGGATCACCCGGTTGAGAACGACCAGTGGGGGCTCTTCTCCATGCACTTCCCAAGCCGCAACGGGATGCAGGTGTGAATGCACTCTGATCCTTGTCTCCTGATGGGATGCAGGTGTGAATGCACGCTCTTCCTATTATGCGACAGGATGCAGGTAGTGATGCACTTTGAGTAGGGAGACTTGGCTACGGAGTTCCTTTTTCTTCCAGCGTTTGGAAGTCCGTGTCGCTTTAGGGCATTCTTCATTCTGTCATTTTTGTGGATACACTTCGGAGCGTGGCTGCGAATAGTCTCCTTATTTGCGTCAACAACCAATGATAGGCAATGATAGGCAAAAACGGAGCTTACTCTCGCAATTGAAAGTGGTGTGTGGTTGTGGAAAGGGCTCAGAAGGCCCCTTTTAGGCCAAGGTCTGATAGGACACCTGGACACTTCCTGGAGTCAGAGTCAGCCGTCCAAGACGACGGAGATCAGTTGATTCCGAACCTCTTCTTTCTACAAAGAGTAGTTTTTTGTCGTTGTGGCCGCGCCAGACGCTAAGTCTTGGCCTTCCTTGGTATCCATTGCAGTGCCGTCAACTCCACGCGAAGCTGGTCAAGTCGGGCGTCATCAGTACCGATCGGCAAGCTGCTTCAAGCGGTTCCGATGCTCTGACACCTGTCGCCGCGGCTCCGAGCCCCGGGACTTCGGACGCAACCCCCGCCAAGAGAGACGATCCCAATCGGAGCGAAGTGCAAAAGAGGCCGAAGCAGGACGGGGACGCGGGATTGCCTCCGCAGAAAGATGCTGGAGCGGACGAGAGGCCCGGTGTTCCTTTGAGAACAAACGACTACAGGGAATCGAGCAAGCAAGACGGAATCGGCGGACTCCGAGGGGAATCAACAAAAAAGGATTTGTCGAAACGTGAAGCTGGTGAAGATCAGCTACCAAAGAAGATTGAGGCGGGGCGGGGTTCCTTGGAGCGGCGCCCCTCGGGAGACAAGGGAAATCTGGCCGTGAACGAAAGGGGACGGAAACCGGTGGAGAGTGAAAGGGGCGAGGACGAGCAAAAGGGTGACCGAAGATCGGCGATGACTACAGACGGGGAAGCAGGAACAGAGGATGAGGAGACAGTGGGTGGGTCTGGAAAGGTCGAGTCGAGGGCTGTAGTCCAAGGAAAAGACGATGCAACGAAGGGGGGGCATGGAGCGGAGACTTCTTTCGACACGCAGCGGGTCAAGGGTGACGTCAGCGGGAGAGATGACGTCAGCAAGAAGGACGGCGTCACCGGGCCAGCTCCAGGGACGGTGTCTCGACCCGTAGAGGGCGTACGGATTTTGCACTTGGGCGGAGGAGCGGAGGGGAAGGGGAAGGAGAAGGGGTCCGACATGCCCAAAGTGACTGTAAAGCCCATCACTGCGGCTGACATGGCGCCGAGGGCCAAGGGCGAGGCGCCAGGTGGCGGCCATCGGAAGCACAGGGACAAGAACGACAGGATGGCGGGGGTCAAGATCATCCGGAGGAACACGGACGCGCCGACAAGTGTCACCTTGGTGCGGCGCCACCTGGCGCCACACCTGATGGCCAAGGCGCCAGCTGTCGCGCTAGCGCTGCCCGCGATCGCAAAGCCGGTGGGGGCCGGCCCGGCCGCCGCCCCTGGGAAACAGATGCGCATGCCGAACGGGAAGTTTGGGCCGTCGATGCAGCCGAAGCCGAAAAGCTCGGACGAGGGGGGGGGTCCGATCACGCTGTACCGGATGGTAGACGGGGAGAAAGTTTCGCTGACCATCCGGAAGCGAGAGGGGGAGGGGGAGGACGGCGAAGTCAAGAAGCGGTCGCATAAACCGGGGGTGGATTCTGAGGGCGAAGCGCCGAAGGGGCTGACTGTGGTTCTGGGGGGAAAGACGGTGCACAAGCGGAAGCGGTTGAGCGACCCCGCGCGAGCGGCGTCGCCCGCGAGGGAGCGCGCGAAGGAGTCCGAAGCGGGGGGACTAAAGCGGCGGGAAAGCTCCGACGCGCTCTTCAAGGCCGTGAAAAAGGTGCGGATTCGGCATCCCGCGTCGGATGCAGACCCCGGGGGGGGGGAGGGGACCCCCCCGGGGCGAGATGACAAGCAGCCGAAGAAGCGGAAACGGATGGGGGGGGAGGCTCCACTACGGTGGGCGTTTGCGACCACCCCCCGGCTCGCGTCAAATCCGTCAACCCCCCACAGTAACGCGGAGGGGGGGCAGGCAAACCACGATGAAGAAGGGGGCAGCTTTCAACAACCGGGGGGCATGTCGGCACGCGTTTCGAGTAGAGAGCTGCAGCAACTTTTGCCCGCTAGCAGCCCGGCGTATTCACCCCTCCTTTCGCTGGCCAGCTCGAGGAAGCGCGACCGAGACGTGTTAAACGGCCCCTTCCGCAGGGCCGGGGGAGGGTTCGAAGATCCGCAGCCGCCAATCCACACGAGGAGGCTCTTGGCGGCGTGTAAGCTGCTCGGGGTGCTGGACCGGAGAGAGGCCAAGTGGCACGCCAGCGTTTCGGGGGGGTGGAAAGATGGGGCAAACGGCCGGTTGCAGGACCCCTCGGAAGCGAAGGAAGATCCAACTCGAGCTGTGGAGGACGCTATTGAAGGCAGCGAAGAGGCGCCAAGGGTTCCAGACGACCCCCCCGAAACGGGACCAGATACTATGCAGATTGACGACGCGCACCCCGAGGCTGAAAAAGCCCCTGCGTCTGCGAACGAACCCCCTAAAACTGAAACCGTTCCCGTGGAAGAAGGACCGGACCCCCCCGAAACGAAAGCGGGTGCTCCGGACAGGCAAGAAAACGAAGCTGTGGGTGCGGAGAAGACTGCGGATTTGGAGGCGCCTTCGGGAGGGGGGACGGAGGGTGATCCCTCGACGGAAGGAGAATTGGGGAAAGTACCAGAGGCAATTTTGCGGAGAAGGGAAGAGCTCTTTGCTGAGCGGGTCAAGCTTCAGAAGAGGTGCGCAAACAAGGTTCCGTACATTTGTGAACCCCCTTCCGTGCGATACCTTTTATGGAGTCTCGTGTTGGTTAAATCGATGAAGCCAAGGCGAAACTGAAAAGGACGAAAACGAAATACGTTTCTGGCCGTGGAGAAAGTTGAGTCTGTGCCTTGGGAAGATGCTTTTTGCCGGCTAGTCCTGTAGGGAGAGTCCCTGAGAAGCAGGATGGTTGAGCAGGTTTGTTGACCTGGTTGGGGTATGTATCAGCTTGGCCTTTTTACCGTGCTTGAATTCGTTTTTCTGAGAATGTTCTTGACTACTCATCAACTCGAGTGTTGAGTCGGCTAGAGTGCTTTTATAAAGCAAGCAAGTCACGCATCTTTCACGGCTGCGCCTGTCACGTGTTGTTCCCTGTCAGGCGGTTTTCCACTAGTGCAGAATTCCAGAAAAGCAGCGTTGAGCAGCACATTCACTTGCGGGGATGCCTATTGGGGAGGTTCGCAAATATCGAAGCTGAAGTTGACACCAACACTCCTTCAACTTTGTGTCAGGTGGCTCTTCGATTATGAAATCCTGGAGAGTAGCTTTGAGCGGCAGTACGAGCGGGCGCTTGACGACGAACCTGCCACGGATGAGGAGAAAGGCGCGGCCGCCGCAAGTACGTCAAACCACGCTCTACGATCGACCAGGGGACAAGCAGAGGTGGGTTTGTCTTTCGTTTTGCGTTTCTTTGAAAGGCAGATGCTGTCACCAAAAGGGCTTTGAACAGCAAGCACGTCCAACCAGGCTCTACGATTGACGAGGGGACAGCCAGAGGTGGGTTTGTGGTTTCATTCTCTCGTATTGGTGAGGCAAGTAATGTTTGGTCAGTTGGTTTCACCAGAACGGCTATGACTGAGCAAAGCACACCCTATGGTCGTTAGGGGCAAAGCAGAGGTAGGCTACTGATCCTTTTTATTGCTGGGGTTTCAAAGTACTCCCTCTTTGAAGACCATGGTGAATGATGCGAGTACGGCTAGAAGCGAGCACATGTGACCACGCTCTATGGTCGGCAAAAGGGCAGCCAGTGGTAGGGCTCAACTTGCTACGCTTCTTGTGATACCGTCTAGTGCCGGCTTCGATTCGTTCACTAAGATCCAGCACAGCAGCCGCGAACACGTGTCACAAGAAGGCGTCGTCGCTATAGCGAGCACGTTAAACCACGCTCTCCGGCGACCAGGGGACAATCAGAAGTGCGCTTCTGATCTTATCCCTCATATAGCCTCGCCGGCGGTCCGATGTTTCTTGGATTTCAGCGAAAGGACGAGATATTCCTTGTAGAAGACGAACAAGATAGACTCGTTTCGACTCTTACTGATTAGAAGGATTGAGGTCTTTCCTGTGGGGATCGACCTCCGGAGCGTCGACGACGTCTCGCCGGCAGTTAGCAAAGAAAGAGGCCCTTCGAGTGTATGAGGGGCTTTTTGAAAACATAGAGAAGTAAGCCTGCTTTCTCTGATCTTCGATATACCATCTCCTTATCAGGGAGCGCACCCCTTCCTCCGGAGCGCGGACGGCGCCTCGCCGGCGGTTCCGCACCAGATGTCGAAGAGGTACGTGGAGGTGCTGTTCGAGCGGTGCCGGGAGGACCTTCTGCGGCGGTACCAGATGGAAGCGGACACTTTGGACAACTGGCACAGGTACGAAATATCAGTCGCCCTTCAAATCAGTCGGGAGAGAACTTAGGGGCCACCAATCTGGGGTCCTTAGGGGCTTCAATCTCGATTGACTTTCGGCAGTCTGGTACGATTCGTGAGATGCAACCAGCCTTTGCTCGACTTTGTTGAATTCTCTGCTGTTTAGAGGGCGCTAACGCTTATGTTCTGCGTATGCTGCAGGTGGTTGGCGGAAAGTTCGGGGTCGCTTGCCGCGGCCGCTCGGATCGCGCTCGAGCAAATTCCTCTTGATCCCCGGCACCTAATAGATGTATGATCCACAAGCTGACGGACGACAGTCCACAGAAATGTGTACATAGGACCAAAGCAAGCGCAATAAGTCTTGAGAACGAAAGAGAAGACACTCTTATCTGTTCCTGCAAATCGATGTGGAGAAAACCCACTTTGCTTGCCGTGTTTGTTGCCTTCATATAGGCTAGTACTTTGATCACTTCATTGGGCACGGTCCTAACATTTGGTTAGTACCAAGCAGTCGCATGCGACTAAAATTGAATCTGCCGCGCGATGGGGGGAATTGGCATTGCAAGGTGCATGTAGGTGCAGTCGCGCACTCGGGTTTTTGTGATTCTTGTACGCTTCTTAACATACAGCCCATCAGTGTACGATCGGATCGATAGCATTGGTTAAGTTAGCCACCGAGGTTCCGTCATTTCGACATGACCGTACAGTGCAGGCCCGCTGAATGGTCAACATCGCGTCATTCGTGCACGAGTCAGGTCGATCCTACTATAGATAAAGTGCCATGGCATGATCGGTGAGTCACTCGCAACCGTCCGATGAGTCGCATGATCGGACTCACGGCGCAGTATGAGCTTGCAAAGTTTGCATGGGACTTACTCAATTGCTGAGTTTGTTTCCAGAGTTCGGCACGTGAACAAATCAGCTAGTAGATTGATCTGAGTCAGTTTATAGCTGAATCGACCGCGTCTGCCACATATGCACATGCAAAATGCTGCATGACGGCGCACGACGGTAACAATATAGTGCCTTTCACGCACAGATACACATGCAACCGTCGTTCGTTGAACGCGGCGCGCTCAATGATGATGCAACTTGTTCGAATGATGTTAATTGTCTGATTGACCGGATGTTTTGAGCGATCGAATTCTTCAAAAGCAGCGGCGCGCTTGGTAAGCACTGGGTGCATGTATGTGGCGGCTTAATTTCTCTGACCTCTCGAAAGTACTGAGCCGGCCGTCTCTCACATGTCGATCGAGTGTTTCATTATAAAAACTCCTTAAGGAGGGGTAAAATCAAACATACTGAGCGTTACGTGTCTTACCCGGCAGTCACTTTCACTTCTCAACGATAATGCTGAGCGCTGCAGCGCTACAATTTCACCACTTCACCCCGCCCACACCCCCATACTACCCTGATTTCTCGCTTCCGAAGCTCCCTTTAAGCGAACTTTAGTGGGCCGCACGCCCGCGCGCCTGGCTTGCCCGATCCCGCGGCCTCGGAAGCCGAAGCCGCCGTCGTCACGCCCGCCGCCTAAATGCGCTCTCGAAAGTGGTGATGCTGACGCTCTTCAGGCCGTTACCAAGGTCTCCTGACCGAGTGGGCGAGGAAGAGGATACTAGCGGCGATTGCGAAGGAACACAGGACGAACGCGGTGGGCAGGTCGCGCTCCATCGGGGTAAACCTGCGTTTGCTCTCTGTAAGGATGAAGTTAGTAAGAACCTGTCCATGGATGCGGAAAGGCCGGAACTCAAGACCCAATCCTAAAGTTTATCGTGCGCACAAAAACCACTTTTGTGTCGGGTCCCCTCTCACCCCTTCACCCGGTCGCTTTCGCTGGTGTTATGTTAATGGGTCTGCATGAACGATTTGAAGCCCTCAGCGGAGGTTCATCTCGAGCAGGGCGTAAAGGTCATTGTCAAAGACCGACATTTGTGATCTTTCGCCATAATCAAAATTCAAAAAGATTTGTGTAAAGTGACGTTTTTTAAAACTCTTGCATATCTATCACCGAAATTTTGCGTTTGAACTCTTCTGCATTCGGTAAAAAGTCCACGTTTTCTTGCCCATAATGCTCGAAGCAGGTAGCGCTTTCAGTTGCTCTGGAGCAGATTGCATGAAACGAGTTGTACAGCGACTTACTAGGGAACCTGAAGACCTCGTCCCCTTCCTGTGACGCCGGCTCGACCCGTGACGTAACTCGTGACGTGGCTCCGGTGGGCCTTAATATCGCCATCGTTCCTTCAGACTTTTCAATGGCGCCTTTAAGCGGGCAGAATGCTCCTACTTTTCCTGGATGACGACTATGTGGTGTCGCCTGAAAGCTGAAATTAGCGAACACGTTTGACCTTTCTGCAAATTCACTAGACGCAAAACAAAAATTAAGAAGGTGGAGATATCTATCGAAGAGCTTGCTTTCGCTAGGATCCTGGCAAGGGAAGTCACGGAAAGACCAAAAAGGAATTGCTAGCTCGCTGCTAGTTTAAGTAGTCACAAAAGTGAACAGTGATTTCTTTTTTCCGATTCATTTGGTGACTGGAATTTAACTTCGCCGTTAGTTTCTAACCTGACAATGAATTGCTTGACAGCTATGACAGAACTTAATTCAAGTGGAGTACACTTTTAAAACAAACACTTCAAATCAGGTATGAGGGCGTGTCGTTTCTAAGATGGACAAAGCCTCGTGGTCACCAAAGCTGACTGCAAATTTTACTTGGTTTGTTCTTGATCCAAACGACCGTCCTTCTTACTTTATGAGATTGCTTTCGGAGAGTAGCATTCTTTGCCTCAAGTAAGGTGCTTTAACGGACAGCACATGATTCAACGGAGGTCCTTCAACACAGCTGGTGACGCTTGATAACGTACCTGCTTTCTTCATAAGCAGGCTGTGGAAGCCAAGTCGTGGAATCTCTGGACCCGGTCGCTGTCCAAAATACGAAAGACAAGGCAGTCTTCGCAAAACTCTTCGTGTCCCACCGGCCTCCCAATGGGCATCTGATCCTTCCGCCAAGCGTGTTGGACGTGCAGCTGGAACTCAGATCCTGCAGACTGGTAGTCAAAACACGGGCGTCGATCGCGGCGCGCCGCCGGCGCCGCGCCCGGCGCTCGGTCGGGCGGTCTACAACGGCCGCGGCCGCTTGCCTGGCTTGCGACTGCCGGCACGGAGTTTTGGCGGGGTTTTGCCTCTTGATGTCAAGCTTCGAGTTCGACCACGTACTAGCGCACGTATAAGACGTGCGCCAGTATGAGACGTGCACGTCTTAGTTGCAAGCAGTGTACTTTCTCTTGTTCCTTAGGATTTGGCCTTGGCGTCTATGCAGGCTTCTTCCTCCTACCAGCTTGCCCTGCAGCTGGCAAGCGCGCAACCTGCGCAAGTTGCTGGGCCCATCTAAGTTGTAAAGAGACCGAAGGGAAGCATCGGAGCATTCGAGCATCGATCATCGCGGCTGGTCTTTTGGACAACAACAAGGATGCTTAACTTAGAAATTTATATTCGAAGATCGGAAACATGCAGTCAATTGTGTATCCGCAGTTTCGACAACTGATCAGCTAGCATCAGTAGGATCGTCAGTAGGATCAGAGGAACGTACACGAGGGGCACGCCGCGCCCCTGGCCGTTACATATTCTGGGGATGTTCCATGCCAATCTTCACTGAGCGAGTGATGTAGAAAATCTGCCATCGCATACAGTGCGTTTGAAGCAAGTTGCATCCTAATGGTTTGAGCCCGTTCACTCTTCAAGGACAAGAGTAGAGGGCTCGGCCTATAGCTGCGAGCGTGCAGTGCAGCAAAAGGCCACGTTTGTTATTCTTCCAAGACTATCGTGTACCGTATCACATCTAGAGTGATGCATTTGAGTGGGAAGTGATTAGAGCTTACAGTGGTGATCGCCGTAATGCTTCAAAGTCGAAATCGACTTTTGCCCAAAAATGGAAAGCACACCGTCAATCACTGCAATCACTAGCTCAATGGAAGACAGGCATAGCTTATACAAGGTCGGTGTTCAGCAAGCGCCGTATACTCACAAGATTTCGTTCTTGACTGAGGCTAGCAACCAACACCTTTGTGCAGCTTGTGTACTCACGACTCAGTGCGTGGTAAAAGTGTACAGAAAAGAAGGTGCGTGATGTCCCTTAACGGCTGAAACAAGCGTACATATTCTCAACCTCTGCATATTTCATAAGCTTGTCCCTAAATTCTCTTAGTTTCAGGATCTGGCTGAAGGAATAATCATACTCAAAGATCTTTACCACCTCGAGCTCCCTTTCGTAGAAGGCCAGCAATTCGGTAAAGTTCTGCGCCTCGACCAGCTCTTTGAGCCTCTCTAAATCTGGTTTGTAGACTTCCGCATCTTCCTTCCTTAGAACCCATGGGAACTCTTCCTCGAGATAGTAGTGAATGTCTGCAGCAAAAGCGCGCATCCCTTGGCTATCTAGAGCCTTGTCATCCAATCCAGCTACGTCCTTGAGAGATTGATTGTAATCGAATTTAGGGGTCTTTTGCTCGTAGCCGTACCATAAGGACTTGCAGCCCGAAATACAGTCAACTACCTTGCCCTTCTCGTCGCAGAAGACAAATTCGACCCCCATTTCCTGTCTTGAGATATGGTTCTGGTATGTCGCTCCGCGCTCTGATGCCCGAAATATTGTGCGATGTACTCCTTTTTGCCTGCAAGTTGCTGCAACAAAGACGTCAAGCCAAATTCCGAAATGAGTGTGTGCGTGCGACCCGCTCGACAGACATGGATTGAAACGATGGAGAACATGACGCAGCTTACGTCACCTGTTGAACAAACGTCTCTACTGAAGGATTTGGACGTGTGGCTCCTGTATGAAAGATGGACAGAGCTCTGAAGCTGACTGAGCATTTTCAGTCAGAGTGTTGCAGAAAAAAAAGTTTTCTTTTGTCTGAGCTCCTCTCCTACGGTGCTGTTCAGGATATGGAACCGGGTTTTCTGCACGAAAGACCCTTAGCACGCTGTGGATAGATCTTAGAGTAAAATTCACAAGCCCGCCAGCTGACCAAGTTTTCCTAGAAGACCGTTTGAAAGGCAATGAATTCTGACAAGACCCAAAGCACAAGCTTCTGTGTCTAAGCACCTCAAAGCTGTTCAGGAATGAACAGATTATGTAACGTACATGAGAACAAGCTCAGAACGTTGGTTCATCATTCACCATGAATACTAAACCCTCAAATATTCAGAATGAATCTGGAGTCTCCAGCATAATGGAACAAAAACGGCCTTGAATTTTGAGAAACCAGTCTTCACTTGTTAGAAAACAAGCCTGAAACTGCTTCCGTCTGGTGAGGCTCTTTCCAAGCCAGCACAAAGTCGACGTCAGCTATTCCAACCAAGAGACCAAGACGCCCAAGCGAAGGTTGACGATGTACCTTTGCGCCTCACAAGATGAAGCAGAAGAAGCAATTTATCTGCAGAAGGCTTCAGTAGACATCCAGATCGTTGACTGTCTGCACCCAGTCGCAAGCTGTTGCGGATAATAGAAGGATCGAGGTCTCTCTCTTCAAACAATTCACGCCCGCCGTTGAACCTGCTATCAACGTGAATGCGTGCTGGACGCGCTGGAGTACATTTGTCGGATGTACGTTGCTCTCAGCAGATCAGTTTGTCAGAAGGTCCGCCATAAATCTAGCAAGCTTTGACAGCTGGAGGCAGCACACAAGACGCAGCGCATCCGCATGAGCCTGTCAATGGATCTCAGCCGGCGCACGCCCCTGGCGCGGCCGCGCTGAATTTGCGCGAGGCGGACGCGCGCGCGCCCGCTTATTAGCATTCCGGAGGCTGAGCCGCGCAGGGTTTCGATTGGACGACTATCGACCAATGGGATGTCGGGGAAGTCGTAAAACCCCGTCAAGCCCCGCCACCTTCCTCTCGAATTTCAAATTTCTGTTCTTGTGAAAGAATGCTAATGCATGATCATGATTCATGGGGGCGGGTCCATGGCTCCTACCTCTTTGCTAACGTAGGACGGCAGGCACCTTGCAGCCTGCAGCTGGCTCGCAAAGCGCACAGATTGCTAGGGTCGTCAACAAGGGAGATATAGGAAGCGCGTGCTGGTATCGTTTGTAGGATCAGATCGAGGTGATATCTGCTTGGGGATGAACTTTGCGCTGAGAGCTGGCTCGAAAGCTCACTTTTCCTTCAACTTCCGGACGTTAGTCAATCTTAGGGTACTGTCAGCAGAATATGCTGGTGCTTAGCTTAGTCAGGAGTTGGACCTAGCTTGGTGGCCTGTTGCACACTTCTGCGCTTCTGAATTCTGTAGTCCTTCAAATACAAGAACGTCATAACAGACCACCCAGTGTGACGATTACAGAGAAAGTCCTCTGAAATGAGGCGGCAGGTTCCAGTTCGTTCCTCCGGTTCTTATGACCTTCAACACAGACAGGGTTTGTAGGCAGGGAGCGATGCAAAGAACAGCTTCGTACTTTCAGCACATATTTCAGCTAGTCAGATCTCCCTGCTGCTTATATTGACTGCGCTGCGTCCGTTGGGCAGCAGACAATAGCGTAAGAGTCTACTGGGGAATTTTGTTGAAAAAATGGGACACGCTTGTGCGGTTTGCCTGGAAGGGAACAATCCCGACTTGACCTGGGTAGCAATTCATGAATGCGGCCATGTTTTCCATGACACATGGTAAGCACACTTTACTCTCGAGCAGCGAACTTGCTTGCAAGCTGATTGAATGCAATCTTTGTGGTTCTCGACAGCTCAAAAGTAACTAGACCGTTTATGATCAATAGAATATTGTCCTTGTAGAAAGGTTTGTTTGCTTCTGTGGGCATGGGCAAGGTACAAGCGTAATGTACCTGTGTGAAGGAGATCAAGGACAAGAATGGAGACCCAATCAGCTTTTGAGGAGGAATGGGCATACCTCTAGAGAGCTAATGCGTTCGACTATTACTTGTTGCAGCTAAATTTGAGCAATCTACGGTTGTGCTGCTCAGCTTTTACCATTTTGAGAGTCTCATGCCACCAAACAATCAACCTACGTATTGTTGCTGAAAGCTCACTTGCCTAGGCTTAGCAAGGGACTGAACATGACGGCTTCCCGGCTATCCCTGTGGAAGAGATGGATCTGTGGCAGAAACGAATGCTAGCACACGTTTTGGAATGCTGGCACCGTGACTTTCGAACCAATTTCCAGTGCTACCTCGTTGCAGTCTGTACCAGTGGTACAACGTGGCCGCCAAGAGAGTGTGCCCAAACTGCAAGGTGCCATTCCACCACAGCAAATGCCTGCGGGTATTCCTGGAAAGCCAAGATGAAGGGGGATCACCTCCAAGAGCCGACAGCCCAAACCGACCCCCGCAGGTGACTAGAATTAAGAGTAGATCTTTTGCACGACATAATTCGACAAGAGGATACCCACCACCATCTCCATGAGCTAATCTCTGGGGTAGTCTCTTAGCACTGTGGTTGCAAGATCACCTCATTAAGTCAGTGCTGCAATTTCTGGAAGTGCATTCTGAGAATATAGGTTGCTTCTGCCCAAGCCAGCAGACAAAGCAAGCATGCATCATTATTTGTCCTTTAAGAGGCATCCTCTCTTCAAATGTCCGAAAGTCCTGAGCGAGGATTTCTGAGACTCCACCCTTCAGTCGAATCCTGCAACCTCTGAATCCCAAAGCATGGGCAACACGCAGGCGTTTCTTATCTTTCCTTCATCCCTTGAGGAATTGGAAGATTTGAGACACGGATGTAGTCTTCAGGACGTCAAAGCTTCAAAATGTGATGCAAACGAGATAAGCTGTACATGTGCAGGCCAGCATCCTGGAGCTCCGGAGGCTGGAGGCACTGTGCGAAACAATCCAGACCTCGCTACAAGAGCGGCAAGCGGAGGTGGAGAAGCTCCAGGCAAAGGTGAGGCAAGCGCTGAAAAGGCTGCCTTTCAAACATGTTCGGGGTTCCGCATTCTTAGAGTGCACATGTTTACCCTTGCTTCTGAATACAGGCTGTGCCTCAAGCAGGCCCTCCTGCTCTGATGATGTAGGTGTGCGGAGATGTAAGATCGAAACCAAAAGCCTTATTCACTGAGCATCATTTCTACCACTGCCACTCGAAGCTTTCTTCAGAGCACTTCGTCTGTTAAATTTTTGTCCTACTCAGCGGCTGTCTCAGACTCGCTGAGACTCAAATCGTCTTGCCGGCTGTGGCTTCTTGGACTATTTTGACATTCAATACTTTCAGTTTCAAGCAGGGAAGTACACTCTAAAACCGCGTAAGCGAGTGCGCTTTGATTTGCAGACCAAAGAGGACAAGAAGCGCATCGACACGCTGTGTCATCAGGCGCGCGTGACGGAATGTGCTCACTCGACGGCTGTCGCGGAGCGGGACAGGGCAAAGATGCAGAAGCTAGAACTAGAGCAGGCGAGCCTCCAGCTTGTCTTTCTTCCTGGCCCTTGATCTGTTCCGTTTGCCGATCCTTCTGCCCTTGGAATCCTCTTTCTTGCAGAGCTTCTCGAGGCAGGGGGTCGATTGTCGGTTTGCCGGATCGTGCTCACTTTAGTGCTGAAGCTGTGATAAAGGTGGTTCAATGTCCGCATTTTCTGGGACTAACTGCAGCTCAAGCAGAAGGTGGAACATTCTGCTCCAGTGAGTTGCAGAGTTGGAAGTGCAGTGGTGATCGTCCTCGGTCTCCAGTTCCCCAGAGAAACGGGGCTACTAGAGCTTGTGGACAACCGAATTTGTTACTGGAGGTTTGACTTCGTTGAGGTTGCTGGAGTTACGGGGGCCACTCTGAGGAGGATGCCGGGCTAACCTTTTGGCTGTCCTGCCCTTGTACAGATTGTCAAATCGCTCCAGGAGAGGAACGAGGCCCTAGAAGCGAAGGACATGGAGCACTCTCTGTAAGTCTCTGGCACCAAGCTAATCTGGGTTATCGGCCAGACTCTGCATAGAAAGCTAGAGACCGTTTAATCAATAGTGTGGAGTCTTGATTTCCAAGCACTCACGTTTTGAAAGAGAATAGACACGTTTCTGTTGGTTCGATCATACCTTTCTCTTTTGTTCCACAACCGCTTTTGCACCTTCGATTGCAAAGCCCACTCGCAAGGCTCCAATTCGGAGCCTAGTGTAACCGTTACGACTCATCAGCAAAAAATTAGAGGCACCTATCGAAGTCTCAGACGTATGAGGACGCTCTCCATCTCTTCCCCATCTGGTCTCTTAATCTGACTGTCTGTCTGTCTGCTGTCAAGTACCGGAATCTTACTAGGCCTTCCTGTCGTTTTTAGAAGTGAGTCGCTTGCCGCAAATGAAATATGGACCGAGCCATCCCAAACGCTTGTTTTCTTGGTGAAGAGTCGACAGTCGTGAGCCTGGCCCACTCTGAAAGAGAGTCTGTTGAAAGAGAGTCTATAAATTGAGTGGACCCACATGCTGATTCCTAGAGTCTGCCAGCACAAACGTTGACGTGCAAATGTCCGGCACAGGCGATCCTTTGGAAAGGCGTTTTCTTTGGGTCGTAGCGGAAGCGTTGTGCATTAGACCGAAACGATATTTCGAGCAGGTTGCATGACATCAGCCTCGATCGGAGCGCCCTCGCCAAGCTGACCTGGGGGAAGAATCCGGACATGGTGATTGCGACGCAGCACAAGGTTTTGGAACAGCGCAACGAGTGAGTTTCCTTGGAAGCGTCTCACAGGACTGAATAGAGCGAAAGAGAATATATAGGGGTCCTTTGTCTGACCGATTTTACCAAACAGACTCTACGGATTGTCAAATTTGTTGAGATTCAATCGAGCAGTTTCTGTTGTAAATGCAGGGCGATCTGTTCCGTTTGTAAGGCAGAATACTGCATGATACTATTTGCAAAATAAGGATACGCTTCGTTTTCACCAAGAGATCAACGCAAATGGCCTGGAATTGTAGACGTTGACTCTTTCACTCCTCGACATACGTAAACTGTTCGGCACCAACTCGGAGAAGCCTGCTGAGTCCATTGCGATCTCGACGTCAGTCTGACGTCAGCCCGGTCCGTCTTGCAGTGAACGGAAGAGCTTCATGGAGAAGGTGTCTGCCGCCTGTGCGGCACAACGGAAAGCGGAGCAAAAGGTCAGCATAGCGGAAGAGGAGAATGCGAAGCTCAGGGGCAGAATCAAGCACTTTAGGGTGAGGACAACTCTTGGCTTGCTCCTGGCCGGGTATTTGGCGGACAGAATTAATCAAAAGTTCTCTGATGGGACCAAAGCGCCGAATTGTGATATAGCACACTCCAAAGGAGCCCCCTCGAAATGAGGGTTGAAACAGCTCCAGCCTGCAAATTCTGTGCTGTTGCGTTCTCTGATGCAACGCGAAACAATTGCAAGCAACTCAACCAACGAAAGTGGCGGGTATCTTTGGCGTCAGTTCTTCTTTAAACATGGTGTAGGAACAGTGGACGAGCGGTGGTAGCTTTTGTGTCGCTTGTCACTTCGAACAGAATCAGCTGGATATGTGGCCGTCACGGCTTTCGGCGATATCGCAAGTCTCAATTCTGCTCACTGTCTGGATCTGTCCCTTAGTCTGTCCGGAAGTCGGTCGCTCCCTGGATCAGCACGCGCATGGAGCTGTATAGACAGTCCTTTGGGATGCTACAAACCAGGCAGCGTAACGAGTGTTAGAGTCTGGAGAGGGCGCCTGCGAAGAATTAAATCGTAAATTCAGGCTTTTTAGAATTTGACGGGCACTGAGGAGATGGGCCCGCGATTCATGGCCACTAGTAGAAGTCATACTCTGTAGTGCCCGGGACATCTTGAAGAACAAAACCTTGAAGACACATTGAACACGGTTTGACTACAGGAAGTCATCGATGAGAAGGAGCGGGACGTTTTGAAGCAGGACTTCCGAGTGGGGCAACTCGAGGAGGAGCTCAAGCGCGCCCAGTCCGGCCGCAAGCGTTCCGCCGACGGAATGGACCGGAATGGGATGGACGGGCCGGGGGCCTCGTCGCGGAAGAGAACGGCCGGGTTTCAGGGAACGAAATGGCGAGATGCGGGCGCTTCTTTGGAGGGTATCCCAGAAGTCGAAGCGAATATCATCAGCAAGGGTTTTGGAGACGGGGCCGGTTCGGGGCGTGCAGAGGATGCAGAGGGTTTTGGAGATGGCGACATTCACTTCGAGGCTGAGGATAGTGCTGACGAAGGGGAGGACGGATTCCGCCCCGACGCTGGGCCGGACGGAATGCCTTCCGACACGGGAGGGAGAGCGAGGGGATCGGGAGCTTCTGATGTCCCCAGCCCGACAAGAGACTCCGAAAATGAGGCGGAAGTGTTTCCAACTTCTTTCCGATTTGCAGCGGAAGATGACGGAGAGAATGAGCAGGAAGAAGCAGTGAAACGCGGACCGGAACAGCGGATCGGAGCGACTTTGGGAGAAGTTGACCCGAACGCCTCGGAACTAGACGGAATGCGGATCCGTCGGGGAGCGGGTTCGCTGCCCGGTGCTTCTCAGGAGGAAGGGATTCGAGACGTGTTGAGGAACCGGGGGATGGAAGGAACCGGTTCGTTGTTCCGGTCGGAAGTGGGCCGGAAAAGAGCGGAATCTAGTCTCGTGGCTACGATAAGAAAGAACATTCAAGAGACGAAGAAGCCCAAGTTTGGGTATAAACCGTCTCGCGACACGGGGCCTGCGACCGGTGCCCCGGTCGTGAGGGCTTCCGTCATAGGAGAGCGCCCGAATCAACCGCAGGTTAGTCCCCGGGTTAGAGCCCCAACCACGAGTTTGTTTTCGAAAGATGAGAGCGCGGACACCGGGGGAGTTAGCTCCGGGGGGTGTGGGTGGAAAGGAAGGGGAGCGCCCGAGTCTCAATTTACCGGCGAGCGGGGGACTAGCGGTCGGAGCTCGAGACCGCTTGGAGGGGTGCGGGGCTTTAGCGAGCAAGGAATTGAGAGGCAGAAACGTGACGCGATTAACAAGCTTGTTGCGAAAGAAAGTGGCGGAAGTCAGTGTATGCAGGCAGTTGAGAAGGGTCTCGACAAAGCTAAGCCACCGACTTCTGGTCGGGGCATATTGGGGGGTAATGTTATGCCAAGTGCGCACAGGGGCGGATCCAGCCTGTTCACCCGGCTACCTGCAAAGCGGTCAACCTCAAAAGTGACGGACTTCTTCGCAAGAAAGTAGTCGTAGCTGTGAAACAGTGTGTTAAGGGTGGTATCCAAAGAAGGGCGTCGGCTTCTCTTTTTCAAGCATCAAATCCAGACTGTGCGTGTCAATGAAGGTATGCATGAGCAATTAGTTGCTGCGCTCAGTCATTATGGACGTGTTTCATGCGGTGTTTTGTACCCGGTGTCCGCGAAATTAAAGGGCCGAGCCATCTGCTGCCCCAGACTTGTGCTGATAGCGTGTCACTTTGTATACATAGGGCATGACGTCTGCTTCCGAGTTCCATATAAGTTCCATACTTACGCTCGTCTGGTCTTACCGGTCACTCGATTGATATGCGTCAAACAATATTCTGAATCTGATGCATGTCATACAGGCGCAAATGCACGTACTACATCATCATGTGCGCTGGCGGCCAAAATTGAATTAGTTTGAAGATTATGCAAGTCAGAACTCAAGTTGCGCGATCGCAACTTCAAACAAAAGTTGCCGGCCCGGGGATCGTTTCAGATCGTCTGCATGTACGTTTAGCACGCGTGTGTCTCAATCTGCCGGCCAAGACCTCGTGGCATGCTGTGCATCGCAGTACCTGTACAAGTCGGAATGCAGCTGCATTTTGCTAAGTTTCAGTGCTCACTGATCCATCAGCTGAGGCGGCTACCCTAGCACTACCGCCATTCGCATCATTGTTCAGTATACAAGTTGCAAGCAGCATAGGCCTGACACGTGTCTCGGGATATCGTCGGAAAGGCGGCCGTACGCGTGTCCGATCGATCGACCTTCGCAATCATAGTAAAAGGCCCGTACGTTGTATCGATAAGCCTTAGTGCATCAAAATACAGGTTAGGTAGGTACAAATAAGAAGACCTTACACGATCCGGTAGCTGCGGAGTTCTCGAGCCGCCAATTCGATCCTGAATCTCGCTTTGTATCTGCCACCCTGTGACCTGCAACATGCTAACCTGCCGGCCTCCGCTTGCATGACGCTTTCAAACCTCGGAAGCCTAGGACTACGAACTCGCTTTGTCTTGCGCCAGACTCGCTTTGCAGTGAATCTTGTGGGTGCGCCAATGCAGGATCTGGTGCTCCTTGCTGCACGAAGATTCAAGAACCAGTTCTGCTTACTGACTCGATCGTCGCCAGCTTAGCTTGTGCATATCATTGTTTCTTGCACAAAGATATCTGCTCCGACTCTCGCACGTCTGTACGGCAGTCAAAGTTGTCGATGATTGAAAAGCTTCTATGTGAAGCGATTGAATACACTACTAAGTTCAACCCACCTCAAGTGGACAATCAAGGATAGAAAATCAGGACTCGGTTGACTGAAATCACAATCAGGCAATGCAATCCAGACCTCGTTCGGCAGAACTGAAGAAGCAACTGCGAGACCACAAGGCCTGCGCGCTGCAACACACGTCGGAAAATATTGAGCCCCGCACGGCCAAACCCACAGGTTTGATTCGACTTCGCTCGAAATGGCTTGATGAAAGTGGCCTGAGAACATGGATTTCCTGATTCAAAAGGCTCAGGCACTCCAAGAATGTTTGCAAAAGAAGAATTCCGGGACAAGGACAACTGTGTCCAAGTTGTGTGACAGGTCAGAATCCTTCGCAAAAATATCAATGTGAACTGGTGCCCTCACTCAATCACCCTCAAGCCCCTAACATCGGCTCAATACGTGGAGAATCTGCTCAATTCTGAAAAGTTGACCACGTGCACGGTGTTCAGTTTGAAGCCATTGTGCGGTTCTGATCTTACCTGCAGTAGCGAGCAACTTTACAGTGCCCACACTTTTCAAATCTCGTCCCTTCAACCGGCTCGGGTCCTGCGGTACAGTGCTTCCATGAGCAAACGACTGGGGTTCCGCTTCCGCTCATTTGCGCGCTTAAGGTAAACTGCCGACCGGAACTAAGTTCTCTCATTATGACGGTTCGGCGGAGCAGCTTTGCCTCAATATATTCCCAGAGGTCGATTCCGTTCGGTTCCGTTATGACGATGTTCCGTTTGTAGGGCCGGAATACTTCGAGGGCGTTGAGCGCGCGCAGCTTCTCCACTGTGGGCTCCGATTGCGCCAGGTGCAGCAGGGACGCGTTGCAGCGGAACACCGGAGTTCCGTTCCGGCCTCGTTGGGTTGCGGAAGCGGAAGCTTCGTACACGGCTGCCATGAGCTTGAGAAGACCTTTGTCGAGAGCCCACATCTGACTGTCGGTTGAGAACGCGAGTGTCATCGCAAGATCTGACAGAAACAACGGAACTGACGTAGCGCTTCCGCTGAGCAGCTTGCTGCGGAACTCTGCGGAAAGGAAGTGTCCAAACTGTTCGAAAAGCGAGCGCTCCGCGGAGTATTCCCTCATGGCCTCCCGGAACGCTTTGGACGCGAGCGCAAAGTTGGCCACGCACTTCAGCGGCGTCGCGACCATCAGCCGCCCATACGCTATCAGCTTCTCCGGGTCCATCTCGCGCGCGGCCCGCGACGCGCGCGCGTAGAAAGTCTCGTAAACCTCCCGCGCGATGCGCTTCTGCCCCGCCGCGCCTAGTTCTTTCAAGCAGCGCTCCACGACGACCTTGCTTGTGGACAGACACGCGACCGCGATGCAGCTAGTCTGAAAGAATCTGACCGCCGTTGAAGCATCTCCAAACTGCTCAAGTCTAGACCTTTCAGTGAGCGCTCCCTCCCAAAGGCGCAGCAAGACAGCGCTCCCTTTGTAGACTGCAAGCTCTTGCGCAATTCTAGCAAATCTCTCTTGCTTCTGATTTCCAACCTGAACTTCTATCCTACTCTTTGGTGCCCAGCTTGATTCAGCTTTTTGATTTCCAACCTCTTCTGATTGGTAGCACGCGTCGTCTATCAGCGCGCACCCCTTCTCAAACCTTTCGGCGTCATTTGACGTCAGCAGCGTGGCGTAGCGTTCCACTGTCTGCTCCAGGTCCTCGTCCATCTTTCGGAATAAAGAGCGCCTCAGAGGGCGCACCCCTTAACCACCTGCTTATCCCCTTAGCTTATGGATCCTCCCACTTTGTCAGGGACCAAACACTTGAAACTGATCAGCTTCACCCGCCCCGCTCCAAACCTTGAACCCAACCTAAACCCCTTCCTATTTCATCCTGTTCCCCTTATCCTAGTTCGAAACAATTCACCCAGAGAGTGTGCGCTAGATCAACAGATTAAGCAGGACTAGCAGCGCATGTGATTTTGCCGGCGTCTGACTCCCTCTCCATCCAATCAGTTACCTGCTTGATCAGCCTGATGCATGCATGCTGGTCCAACCTATAGAAGCAAGCCCCCGTGAGCCGCGACAGCAAGTGATCCAGCGCCTTTCGCGCATTCAGGTCCTGCGCTGTGAGCTACACCAGAGGCTTAAAGGCGCAGAGGACTGCTCGGACAACGAATAAGGAATAATGACTAAACTGCTTATGAGAACGCAGCCCGCGAGGGCGGCCGCGAGATTGGTCGCGAGGGCAATTCGCGAACGGCAGACAGACTCCAAGAGATCCGTTCGTCTTGTTGCAAGTGCAGGTACTTATGTTCACGGGAGCTTGGGATTGGAGGCGGCTTGATACTTGTGTGCCCGCGCAAACCTTCTAATCAGTTCTCCGTGGAGCATATACCGTACCTTTAGGCCCTCGGCGATCGACAGGCCGGCGGCCGGGCCGCGTCTTCGCTCTAGACATTGGATTTGAAGTTCGAACGATTCGTCGAGCTGATAAGGACTCGAGTGGACTGTTTCATCTTGATGCGCGGTACGGTAACAGTAGCATCTCCTCTGCCCGAGACTGACATGTTGCATGTCCAATCAATCTACACACCACATATGTATGCCATGAGAAGCCTATGGCCGAACTGGCTATGGCTATTTGAAAAGAGACTTTCACGTTGCGTGATCAAAATGACAGCATTTTTCGAAAGCTTTGGCAATTGTCATTGATTTGATCACGCTGGCAGTCACTAGCAGCACGCAGAGGTGCCGTTCGGCTCTGCATGCCGGTGCGGCCGCCAACCAATAATCGAAGTCAGCGGTGCGGTCTCGTAGACTTACTCATGTATTGCATGCTATTTCAAGTTACGGCGGCCATCATTGCTCTAAAGCTGCTGCAGGACTTGAGTGCACGCCGACGCAGCCCTCGGCTTGCAGCCCCGACCGTCAGCCGGGTACGTGCTTTTAATTCTTCGTGCATAACCAGAGGATGCCATTCTTCATGCAGTCCTCGCTAGTCACTTCGCTTTTATTCTGACTAATATAGGCTGATCGGGCTTCAACAACAGAGTCGACACAAATGCGAACAATGCATAGCGCACGCGCCGGGACCCTCTGGTCCGACGCATGAGCCGAAACGCACTGACCGACGTTGAACGATTTGACTCGGTGGATATCAAATTAGCATTTGGAGTCTGCCGGGACATACATAATCGATCAGCTACCATGCCATCTTAGCTGCATTTACTTGTGTGCATTACTCAGTGAGGTCGAAGTAATGAAACACAGCACTGACGGGCCATGACTCCAGTCTAATCATTTGACCAAACCAGCTAGGTAATGATCATACGGTATCATTGTCACGCGGCCTCAGTGGCAATTTACTGCATGACCCGATAATATTGCCATCGCCACACATGCAAATATATGTATGCATGATACTGAAGGGAGGGGCACTTCAATAGGAGCGTGAGTCATTGAGCTGTTTGAAGTACCTCAAGACTTGTGTACGTAATATTGAGTGGCCCCATGCAATGGAGCGACACAAGCAATGTCAATTGAAAGTCACCCGACTTGTGTCGGATTTCGGACGGTAGGTTTGCTGGCCTATACTTCTGTGTCTCCTTGTCTAGACACAATTGCTGCCCAACAGGCTTGGCCAAGTTCGATGCTCTATTTTCTAGAACTGGCTTGGTTTCCATGCCTCGTACCTTGCATATGTGGCAAAACCTGTATCATTTGAATTTTTGCCGCTAAAATCTGCTTAACATACACATGCCACCAGAATCAATCGAGAGTCGCACAGTCCACACCCAGCGCGCCGGCAAATGGCCTAAACATAGTGTACAACCTCTGAAAGCTTACAACTAGACCGGCGTAACCCCCATCAACGCTGCTTGATCCTGCTCCCACCAATTCAATGATCTCTTTGGAAGCGCTCTGATATTAGTATCTGGCTCTAAACCGTTCTTCCGCCCTATAGCCTGAGCCGGCTCGCCCCCGGCGGGCCGCATCGGAAGGCCGTTCCAAAGCATGGGAAGCCCGTGAAACCCGTTCGGAACACTATCTTGCCTAATCTGCTGTTGCGGCCCAAGGAAAGACGGAGGAACCGGTCTCATTGGGGGGATAGCGTATGGCCCGTTCGATGGCCACCCTTGGTGCCGGAGATCGTTGACAAGGCCCCTTCCCTGAGCCTGCCCGCCCCACCTATCCCCCGGCATTCGAATGGGCCTTGCAATCCCCGGTGCCGTCGCAGACGGAACCGGTCCCATCCGCACCCCGCTGCTCAACTCGGTGCCGAACAACTTAAACGTGCCCGTCTTGTCGTTCCCCCCTGGAGGCCCACTGTGTCCGCCATCCCCGCGGGGGTGCTGTGAGGGCTCCGCAAGCCCCCCCCTCGTGCCGCCGGCCTCCCCCCTTCTACTCCGACTTTCTGCCGAAGTCTTTCTCGTGCCATTCGCTAACGCGTCCGTTCCCTTCAGCGACCCGTACACCGGTCTCGCAACCCCGTGCTTCGTACCGTCTGCCCTCTCGGCCGGCAACCCCGCTTGACCGGAACTCAGAGCAACCCCCGGAAAGCCCTGATCCCACGAGCGCATCCCGTCGTTCCGCCCGAACTCCGCCGGCTTTCCGTTCGTCTGCCGCCCAGTCTCCGCGTCTGCGCCGTGCGCCCCAGTCGGTACCCCAGCCGACCCGTCTGCTCGGTACTGATTCACCATCGCCTCTGCTTCCTTCAGAAACTCCGACACCGACTCTGACTGTTGGAAGGACCGCGGCGGCTCTTGAGGGGGGGGGTTCGACTGGCTGTCCTGTTTTAGGCTCTGCTCCCAAGACCGGAGGGCGTCGATGGTCAGGGGGTCGTCGTACGGTCTGGCGCCCGAAGCGCTCTCAATGAGATCTGGTGCGCAAAGAAAAACGAGCATTAGACGGCACAGCTACGTTTCGGCCTTATGTGAGTGTGCACTGTTCGCTGCTGTTTCCTTCGGTTCGTGTTGGTTGCTTGTCCGGGCCCAAAACAGGCATGACCTGTGGCAGACTCAAATTAACCAAACCTCCAGAATTGTGCAACTTGCGATCCTTATAGATTCATCGATATTAGGCGACCTCCATCAAGCACCTCAACTTTTCAAAACGCGCTTGCTTTTTCGTATCCGAGACAGACCGACCGAGAGAGCAAAGCCCCGTTGGCTGTTGTTTTGCTTGACCTTCGTCAAAGGTCCGAGACTCAAAAAGCCGAGAATTTGTATCTCTTCAACCAAAGAGTGCTGCATGGTTTGACAATTACAAGCAAAGAGTGCTGCTATCGGACGGATCTGGGGTACCCTTTGAGAACGTTCCCCAATGCATAGCTCAGCACGATCAGACGTCACTGCCACTCTTCACCTGCCAGAAACGCGGCGCTTGCGTCTCCCCCTCCCTCTGCCCCGTTAAGTCTCTCCCCCTGCATCGGCTCCGTCCCACTACCAAGATCGTACACTCCTATAAGCCCCGCAATCGATTCAAAGTCCGCGCCTCCGGTTCCCGACGGCCCGGCACTCTCAAACCCATTCCCTTCTCCCCACTGATTTCCCCTCAACTCGGCCCCATGACCCACTTTGTTAACCTGGGCTGGTTGGCTTAACCCGTTAGAAACTACCGCAACGCCCCTTGCCTGACCCGGGTTCCCCTCGTAACCCGGCGACAAACCCAAGAACGTCTTCATCCCATTAGGGGGGGGGGGCGAGGCAGGGAAAGTGACCCCCTGGGACGGCGCGTGCATCGCCCACCCATTACCCAAGTCCCTTTGCGCAGCCAAGGAGCCGTTAACGCCCATTCTGGAGTTAGCGGCGAGCCTCATGACCGTATCCGCCATTTCCCCCACCGTTGGATGTTCCACAGGCCGCGGCTTCGGCCCCCGGGGGCGCGATCCCCCCTTCTTCGAACCCCCCTTTTTAGGTTCCACCATTTTCCGGTGCTTGTTGATGAGCTCGAGGCGCTTCGGCGGCTTGATGGGGGGGGGCAGCGGTGCGTCCAGCAGTTGCCCTGCGAAGTCGTACACCCCCGAGCCCAGTTGGGGGTACACCCACCCCCCCGAAACGGGGACGGGCGTCGAGCCGAGAGCTCCGTATTCCCACTCTCCCGAAGTGTGGGCCATCGGAGGGTCCATGCTGGGCGCGCGTTCTCGGGAAGGCAGAACGACCCCCCCATTTGCGAGAGGGATGTTCACGGGCTGCGGGAGCTGAGCCGGAAGGGCCACCGCAGGTGCCGCAAGTGGAATGCCAATCACGGGAGGGGGGCCAGGCCCCGGCACTATGTCCGCGCATGGAGGGCATGTCACCGCTACCACTTCGGCGGGGTTGCTCGGCTGGATGTCGGGAAGGGCGCTTTCCGAGACACCCCCCCCGGGGGGGCCCTCGATGTGTATCCCCCCCTGCGGCCCGTCGATGTGAATACCCCCCGGGGCGCCGTCGATGTGAATGCTCCCGCAGGCCGTGAGCTCTGCGGTGATCGGTCCCGAGAGGGGGCCGAACGGCGACGACCGTTCCGCGACGACCCGGGGCATCAGGAGGGGAGAGACGCGGATGCCCCGCCCGTGGGGGTTCAGCTTGAGCCCCGCGTTGCGGCCGGTGAGTCCGGCAAAGATCGGCAGCGCAGGCTGCCCGTTGGCCGCGGCGTCGGTGATGGAGATGCGCTCGGGCATGGAAAACTTGGCCAGGGTTTCCTGCAGCGAAAGGGTGCGGAATCGTAACTAGGGACGGGGAGTGGATGGGCGCAGATTACCTGCTCATCTGATCGGAGTAGGGATCTGCAATCAGCCTCTTAGAAAAGTTAAAAACGAGCGAGCGGAAAATCTACTCCGAGTTTGAGGTGAAAGAGCGGCTGCTTCGCTGAGCAGGGAGTCTGCATGTATCACGATAGTAACGCCTCAGATTCCGCAAGAGGCAGGCAGAAACACTTTGAAGTATCATCAGAGACGGTGCAAAGAATACTCGATGAGCTTTCAAAAGATTGACGACTTCGGGACGGAGGTCGGACCGCGTCAGAGATCCTGAAACGGACTCCATAGCGGTCATTCAAGATGGGGAACCAGTCGCAGAGAACCCCTTTCAAAGCTAGAACACGTCCAATACCACGTCAACGACTCCCTACCTGGAGCACGTCCCTTTTCCGCTTCGTCGGGTGTGCTTTTCCCGGATCCGACTCCATCGATCCCGACGCGTCCGACCTTTTCGTCTCGAGCAACCCCTCGCCGGAGGACGGCTCCAGCCCAACACTCAGTTCTTGCGTCTCCAGTTTCGGCCGTTTCCTCCCCGCCCCAGCCACGTTTTCCCGCTTCCGCACCTCTTTCTTCGGCTTTTGACAGATCGCGTCCGCTTCCGACTTGCCCTCGTCGTCGCTGGGGGGCCGGAACTTGCCCTTGGAAAGCACCCCCCCTTTTCCAGGTTTCAAACGCAGGGCAATCGGCTCTTCGTCAGACGCGCTCCCCGCGTCCTCCATGCTGATCGGAATGGAGGGCAGGGGCTCGCCCGAGGTTAGGGCTTCCAGCGTACCCCCCGGAAAGTTCTGGTGCGCCATCAGGGACGCCATTAAATTGAGGACCTCAGACATTTGCTCGCTCTTGAGGCGCTTGCGCGCCGCCCGCCTTTCGCGGCAACGCTCGGGATCTGCATCCGAAGATTATAACATGATCTATGAAGCATCAATAAGCGATGGACTCGCAGCTCGCGAATGCGCGCAGAGATGGAGCACGAGGGAGAGGGGACGCATTCGAAACAGAGGGAGCAAGAGAAGCGGTGAACGCTTCTCTGGGGGTATCTGAGGTTTAACAAAGAGCCGCTGCGAGAAGATAGACCTTTCCAAGGAGTCTCAAGCTGATCGGATTGTCAAGCGAGAAGTCTGCCTGTCGTTGCAAAGACCTTTTGACGAATAACTGGCAGATTCAAGACATCGTGCTTGTTCATGCCCGTCAAGACAACTTTCCTTGACCGCCCTGTATCTCCTTTTCTTTACTGCTCTTTCCCATTGATCGTGTTTAAGGACCTGCTATCCGTTCATCTCCCAAACACAATCCTTCTTCCGCTACTCTTGCATCGGAGGCATGAATCAAGTCTCACCTTCAGTATCCTCCTTCCGTTTCCTCTTCTTCTTCGCCCCTCCACTGCGGTCAGGCACGCTTGCTCCCCCTTCCTCCTCCGTCGCAACCTGCGGCCTCAGGCTCTCTGCCCCGTCCCTAACCTCCCCCTTAACCGGTAAGCTGGCTTCCAGGATAATTGGCCGGATGACCTTGCTGGGTTTGGCGGTGACCTTCCCCCAAGGAACCTCCCCCGACAGCCTCTTCCCAATTGGCTCCTGGTCGCTGTCGCTTTCCGACACCACTTTTGGGAGCTTCACCCCCTTCGAGAGCCCCGGCAAATCCTGCGCTGCCACCTGGCAGCCTGCCCCCAGGGCGCCACCCTTATTTGACTTCCGCCTAACCTTCTTAGCCTCCATGACAGTCCCAGGACTTAAAACCACCCCCACTGGTAGCGTTCCGGGAGAGCTTTTCGCCTTTCTGGCCCCTTCGCCAGGCGCCCTTGGCTTCCGCTCCTTCTTCGTTTTCTCGCCCCCTGCAACCGCTGCAACCTGTACTACGTCTGTATCTAAGATTACCCGGGGGGGGCACCCTGTTCCCCCTCCATCAGCGCCCTCCTCTTCCATTATTGTAGTGAAGCCCCCCTCCACAGCCTCGTTTGACCCCGCCTCCCCGTTTCCTTTCAGCACTGCTTCTTCTTGGGCCTCTTTCCGGTCTGGTTCTTCACTCTCCAGGCCACTCTTTCCCCCCTCCTTATCCGGTAAGGTTTGACCGGCACACCCCGCTCTATCCTCCCCCTTCATCTCAGCATCCTTTGTCTCATTCTCGACCAACCTCAGACTCGCAACTCCCCCTTCTCCCGGCTTCACTTCGGCTTCCCCCTTCCCCTGGCCACTCTCCGCTTCCAACGTCAGCATCTCCTTTGACAGCACATCTAAGCCCGCCGCCTCCTTCTCCTCAGATTCTTCCCCTCCCGCTTTCCCTTGCTCCCCACTCTCCGCTTCCTTTCTCTCCCCATCAAGGTCACTCTCCCCCCAGCACTTCCCCACCGCCCGCCTCCTTCTCGGCCTTGCTGACCGCACCGCCCCCCGCACCCGTACCGCGTCTTCTTCTTCCTTCCATTCCTTCTTCGCCTGCGGCTGCCTCCGGGCCCGCTGTCCCTCTTCCCCCCCCTCAACGTTGAGCCCCCCATCAGACGTTGGCGACTCAGCAGCATGCTCCGGTTCGTCGTCCACCCCCCCTTTTGCGAAGCTCACACTCCGCCGCCGTCTCGGGGAGCCTCTGACCGCCCCTCCACCGTTCACTTCTTCCCCCCCAGATGCATTTTCGTTCCCCTCAGAGCCATCGGACGCTTTTCCGAGAGAGTCCCCGGACGCTTTCTCGGACGCACCCCCCCGGGGCCCTCGCCGCCGCTCCCGCATCCTCACGAGGTGCTTCTCGCAGTGCTTGAGGCCCTCCATAGCTTCTAAGGGGCAGCGCCACCCGGTTCCCCCCTTGATAACGCACCGCCGCTCGTCCGGAATCGTTTCTTCCTCTCCCCCCTCCCTCTCCTCGCTGCCCTTTGGAAGCCGAACATTGCCCCCCCGTTGCGAAACGGGGGCGTCATCAGGCTCATACCGTTGCACCTGCTGCCGCCGGCGCATGGGGCGCCCCTCCCCAGGGGGGGGACTCGCTAACCCCCCTGCAAGTTCCAAAAGCAGTGCCGCTCCATTCTCCAGAGGCCGTTCCTCATCACTATCCTCACCATCGCTTTCTCCCCGAGGGGGAGGCTTCTTACGAACGTTCCTCCCAGGGGTCCGTTTGCTGGCGAGTTTCTCCCCTCCTGACGAATCACAGAGCCCCCTGGAGAGCTCCTCGATCAGAACGTGTATCCCCCGCCCTTTAGCATCATCGCCGAAACTTTTTCGGGGGGTACGGGGGCTCCTGCGCACCTCAGTGTCGGCGGTGTTCTCAGGTCGGCGGTACTTGTTGATAAGCTCCTGAAGATCGGCGTCGTTGTCCCCCCCAGGGGAATCCAGAGGGTGCAGTTCAGGAAGGAGACGCATGTTGACGGCAGCTAGGAGGGGCTGTTTTCTGCAGGAGGGAGGGCAAAGGAATCCTTCGTTCAGGCAAACTAAAAAAGCATCAGTTGAGCATCAGCTGACTCATCTGTATGAAACTGGAGTAGTGGTATGAATACAGAAAAGATGACTGGACAAAAAAAGGAAAGATGGGGGTTGTGTTGACGACTCTTCTCAAAGATGTAACAAGCGGTGAAGATGTGGTTGTAGAGAGGCTCCTACTATGGAAAGTCAATCTGATGGTGTGTGCTTTGTGTTAAGGGCGCATACTCAATCAAAAGAAAGTCTCCCGCAGAGAACTTCAGAACGCCTGGCAACAAGCTGCACTTTGATTGTGGTGCAGTTTGCACCATGAGGAAGCAGATTTCTACAGAAAGGACATGCTGAGAGAGTAGTGCCGTTGGAAACCAAGGAAAAAGACATTGTCGTCAACCAGTACAATCCTCGTTGGAAGCGCTACCTGTCAAGCTCAATCAGGAGCTTCCACTTAGTGATTGCTTTAACCGCCCCTCTATCTAAGACACCCCTTGGAACCTAGTAATCACTCTTGATTCAAAGAACAAAAGGACAAACGCGCGCAGAATATAGCAAGGTTAAAGGGCACAGAGCAAAAGACTCAGCCATACCTGGCCTTATCTGTGTCCCGGGCCAACCAATTCTCTGGCTCAAGCCGCCCTCGCGTACGCCGTTCTCCAGTCATTGGTGTCAACGCTGCACAGGTAAGACCACCTGACATCAGCTGACCCCGCAACTGGCGGATCCTGCGGAGCTTGATGCACTTGCTTGAACGGAATCCATGCGAATTATAGCTTAATGTCACCTGCACATCAAGTATTGGTTACCTTTCCATGCCACTTATGCTTTTGAATTTTTCTTTGGAAGTGCTTGGTTCATTCAGAAGGTGTCAGCTAAGAAACAGCTGGTGATTGAATGGATTGATTAGATGCGCCACTTGGCCATGTTGAATACCTTTTTAGGAATTGTACTCAAATCTGGTCAGAAGGGCTGGGGGAAAAGGATGAACAAGACTGGAATGTATGTACAATGCAGGGAGGCAGTGTGTTCCAGAGACGCCTAAGAGTGCAACCGTCAGATTGCTCGTTTAGGCACCTGAACTACTATGCGAGTAGATGGAAGGATTCCAATCTTGAAAGATCCAGTTCAGAAAGCGCACGCGAGGATCAATCAAAGCAAATGCACAAAGAGGTGCGCAAGATCCACTAGTAAGCCCTAAGACATCAGGATAATAGCCTGTGCGCCAAAAGCTCTGCAAACCTGATGGCCTCAACCAGATCATGAGCATTAAGCAAGCAATATCTTAGGCGTATGCACTGGAAAGAGAACAAGTCTAGAGCAATCAAACAAAATCCTCTTGGAGTGAGAGGCTTGAAAGCAAGGAGAAAAAGGAGAAGAAGGGCCAACGCTGCTTGAACTTTACAGGATATATGACCTTTAGGGCAGGACATTCTCTGGTTGGCAAGCCATTTCACACATAAACTCTGCCAGAAAGAATATCAACTCAAAAAAGCGAATGACCATACGAACAGGCCTAATGCACCAAACCACCAGGGTGATCAAACAAGTCCAAGCACCAGACATCCGCAGCAAGCATTCTCAGGCAGCTTCTGCACCTAGCTTGTGAATGTTCTGAAGACCGCTCGTCATGGCTGGCCCGCAGCGCTGCTGAAACAGTCAGCAGAATATGATTCCAGGCTCGTGAGTGCAGTTGCACAAGCTGCACTATGCATTTTCCTCCAAACAATAGTGTATCCAGAACCATGCTCAGAACATTGCTTCTTACTAGTTTTTCTTCATCCGCTTTGGTGAAGGCTTAACATTGGTCGCAGAGGGCGAGGCTTCTCGAATCTTGCACTTCTGACCTCAAAGGGCACATCGGCCTGTTCATCTCTTTTCACACTGCATCTTTTGAAGCTCCAATTCCCATATTGCTTCTTACCCATTCTTCGCAAATATGTTGCTCTCTGCAGATTCTGAGATCATATTCTGGCAGACAAAGGAACAAATGCAGCTCGGCAGACAAAGGAACAAATGCAAGTGAAAGTCAACTCCACCTTTTGCAGGAAGAATCAATGCATTGAAACTCCAAGACTGGCAAACTTAACATGACCATAAGAGGTGGCTGGTCAAGTCTGATGAGTGCTGCACCAAGAAAAACCACCTCACAGGTTTTGCCACATGCTGCTGGGACGAATTAAGGACCAGGGAACCCTAGAGGGAAAAAAAATATAAACCCCCCATCGACTTTGACAAAGCAAAGGTCCCTGCAGATACACTTTCATTATCCAAGTCTGAGACGTTCAAAGATGGAGGATTCTCGACGATGCAGATTTCAGTGATGCCTCATCAGCCGGCTTGCAATCTCGGACGGGACGACACCATTAGGCATTGAGCGCAACAGCAGCTAATGAGAGCACATGTCTACGAGTGTGCAAGTTCAAACTCCATCTCGTGGACCATAATGCAACTGCAAGCTGCCCTGCCAAAACTATTCCAACCCCATGTCGTCAAGCTAAGGAAAGGAGTGCGGCATGCTGTAAATGACTTGGGCAAATTGTATAGATGCATTGCAGCGCACTAACCCCACCCTCATGCACGAGAAAATCCAAAGCGGCGGGCACAAAAGCTCGCAAAGAGGACCGCACCCACAAATCCAGCTGCTCACCTGTCTTGCAAAATCTCCAATCTTGGTTTTCCGGTCTTCTTAGAAAAGCAAGCTCGTCGTGCGCTTCTCATGCAAGCTCAACGCACCCATAATCCTTGGGTGACTAGGAACACCTCCTTGCTAGCGCAACACCAAAAGCTGCTCAAGCTCCTTGGCCGAAGGTCCCGTTCATCAGATTCATCAAGCCTTGAACTCAACCCTTGGACCTTTCTTCGCTGAAGTGCACAGGCCTCGCGAAGTCAGCGCAGCTGCTTGCGAGCAGCTTGCTGCAACACTTCCTCGCGCTCTGTGCAGAGTGAAATGTACCGACTACCTAGTACTCAACGTCACGGGATAATTTCCGCCTGTCCGGCTTTGTACAATGGCACATGTACACTTCAAAGTCATGCTCGGGCTTACGCGTGGCATCAGTACGTACCGGGGATATCCATCTATTTAACCCATTCATTATATTTAACCCACAATGAAGGTTTACCTAATGGGTTTCTTCTGTCTGGTAGGCTGGATCACCGGTAGGTGGGGCCTAGCAAGCTGCCTGGCAGTGGCAGACTGGGCCCGGAGGACCGGGCTGTAGTCAACCCAGCTACATAACCTAAACCGAAGTGGGGATTGGGCACCTCCTACTGGGGGTACGGTAGGTACGACCGCAGGTACGTTACGGTACATTTGTTCGTGTTTTGTGCAGTCTACCGCGTACCGTACTCAGTCGTGGGTACAAGCGAAGCAAAGCATGCTTGTTCAGTTGCACAATCTCCGCAACCTCCTTTGGATGGCCATGAATCTTCCAAAAGTTACTTTGGTCGCTGTAAACGTGGGATAGACGAAGCTCATTGGTGGAATCTCGCTCGCCTGAGGTGCCCGTACATTCAGGCATCATGAACGGACTCATCATGCAGAAACTTTGCCGTCCTCAACACATCCAGATTCCAGTTACCTACCCCACGCAACCGGTGTACCGTGCATTCAGTCCTGTTTTCCTTCGCCCGAGAACCAAGATTGGAATGTGGTGTCAACGAACGTCCATCTAGACTTGCACATCAGCGCCAGAAACAATCGCACCCAGATCAACTAACCATCTGAAATCCGGCATGATATCTGCCAATCTCAGGGTGCCACGTGTTCCCCTTCCGTCTCTGCCGGTGGCCTTAAAATTTCGCTACGGGGTCTGTCCGATCGGGGTCTGTTCCCGAGTGGGACATTTTGAGGGCAAGAATGTGCGCCTCGCACACGTATGCTGCGTAGGGCCAGTTACGTATGCGCAGTTTTTGGCCATACGTGCACGCATTTTTGACCTTCTCGACCAGACTCAGCCTCGACGGCAAGCAAAATAACAGCGGACTGCGGGCCTATATGAAATCTAAGTCGGCGATGTCAAATTCTCAATTCCAGCA